TTCAAGTGGTTTTTATTTTTTTTTTCCTTAATTCTAAAGTACATAATATTTAAGAGCACACTTTTGAAAGAAATCTCTCTTTTGAAATAAAATCCAATCCTAAAACCAAAAAAAAAGAAAAAGTAAAAAATTAAAAATTTCAATTTAAATTTATTCTTAGTTTACCCTTGGTTTGCTTACCTTAAAATTTTCTTTTGTTTTATAATGAAATTGGTTAATTATCTCTAATTAGTCTGCATAATATTCTCTCCACCTTTTTCCTTATTTCACTTTGCGACAAATTAAATATTTTCTTAAAAATTGAAAATTCCTCATTAAAAAAGTTAACAATAAGTAAATAATACCAATTTAAGAATAGATTTACCTATATTATACCTATATTATAGCACATAAATTGCAATAATAGGAAAAAATATACAAGGATATTCAATGAAAAATTACTTTTGTCATTTACAACTCCTCTGCAATGTCATCATTTCATTATTATATCGCATCACTTCAGATCAATTCAATTCAAAAATGCATTCATTATCAACAGTATACATCGAATAAAGAAAACTGTCAATGAGAAAATAATACTAATCTATTCTTTTTTCATTAACCGGACAAAAAAATCTGATACTGGAGGAATAGTAGTAAGAATAATGAAATGAGATTATAATAAAAACAACCGATCTTTTGATTGGTCATAAGTTTAGAGTTCAAAAGTCAATAAAGGACGACAATCTTTTTATTTACTTACGAACTAAATTAAATGTTAATCAGCGCACAATAGTTGGTAATATGTGGTTACAATGCACTGTTATCCCGGTTGTATAAATCTACGGAATAAGAGTATATATGTACATAGAAGTTTAGAAACATTATTATGAGTAATATTATTGATGCGTCAGTTATATTCCAAAATGATGTCTTTTCTACTACAAGTTATTTTTAAAGAAAAAAGTAAAAAAAAAATTGAACGCAAAATTCGAACGAAATCCTCAATTGCAAGCTTTAATAGAAATTTCATGTTAGATACAAATATAATTATGATTTGAAATCATTGAATGAAAAGATGTTTCAGAAGTACTAGTTATAAAAGGACACTGTTCAGTTGGCAAAAATTCTGTAAAAATCTGAAATCTTCCTAAATCTTCTTAATATCCATATACAGAGCTTGTTTTAACGAAAGTTAAGAATTAACACATATCCTTTGCTTGTGTTCGGTTCTGGCGCAATAAATACGCAGTTTCTTTTGGTCACAATTCTTATTGCAACCTATACTGAATATTTCTGCTACAAATTATAAACAATATCGCTCTGTATATTGTAACAAATATCTGACAGAAATTCAAGTGTTCAATAAATTTTTTTTATATAATGCATTCAAGAACCTTGTAATTCGTTCTCATTAGTACTATAATAATAATACCGCTACTTCAGCATTAGAATAATAAAAGAGATCCGTAGTAAGACGAAAATGAGAAAAACTTTATTGTACAAATAATATTTTTGTTTTTATCCTTTTTCAATATCGTTTTGTTTTTCTTTTTCCATATTCTTCTTTCACCCTTCAAATCATTTTTCTTGCAATGCATTGTATTCTTCATTTAATTCATGATGTATATTTTTCTATTCTATACACCAGTAGTTAGATATTTATATTCTTCTATGCACGTATTGTCACCTAAATATATAAGATATTATATAAGATGAAAATCGGATAACGTAATACATCCATAGTACTTATGGTTGTAGTATTTTTGTGCAGTGAAATTACTTTCAAAGTAAAATGAAGAAAAAAACGTAGTTTATTTCCATTTTTGTTTACTGTAAAATGTCGTAAATTTCTGTATGTAATACTGAAAAAGGGAAGAATTAAAAAAAAGAAACCTGATTATAAGGTGTCCTAAATGAAAAATACTAATTGCTGATGCAAGTGAATTTTTATTGGATTAGTATGAAAGTGTTGGCATCCTTGTAATTATCAATTTTACCTTCACTCAGTCAAAATATTAAAATTTTATTGTTCCTTTATAAAATGTTGTTCAGTTTCCGGAATAAAATTCATTTTGTTTTGAATAACACTTTTTATTTTTTCGGTTTAAATTTTGTCATACTACACCTGAGTTAAGGATTAAAATTTATTTTATGATGACAAAGTATATAAGGATAAAAAAAAATAGATACATATGTATGTAATTGTTTTCAAAAGGAATTGTAAAAAACATTTTAGTATTTACAATAGACACTATTTTTATTTGAGATGGCAAAGTGAGAATTCTCTCTTTTCACAATATTGTTCGCTAATCACTTGGATTTAAGAGTACTGAAGAGTGGTTTTAGTAACACAATGCATATGAACTTTAAAATTTTTTTATTCGTGCAGAATTTGCTCAAAAATAAATATTTTATAATGCAGTTTATTGCAATTATTCGAAGATATATTTTTAATTTACCAACAATTATTTTTTAAATAGTTTCCAATTTTAATTCATTTTTGACTGATACTTGGAGGGGTAGATCTTCGATAACAAATGGATGTACAGAAATATCATTTTTATAACTTTTTTGTCTGATCCATTAATAATTTTATAGATTTTCAGACGTCATAATGAGTTTTCCAAATATTTTATGATTGAGTCCATAAAATTTTTTATCTTAAAATTTTCATTATGATATTAAAATATCATTTACGTATAAATAAAAGCTTTCACCTAGCCCTGAGGTCATAACGAAGATTTTAATAGCCTTTTAAAACTATAAGAATCTAAGGGATACAAATTACCCTCGATTATTATGGTAAAATAGAATTCTATTTTCGATTTAATATCATTAAAAGTATGTCTTTGCTGACTAAAAGCTATTAATATTTTGATATTTTTTTCAATTCTCTGAATTTGTATACCTAACAGCAGTTTAATTCCGACTCTCTCCTAATAAAAATTCTTTCAAATTTGATGTTTAATTCTCTATAACAATTTCGTCTATTCATTGACTATTAAATTTCTTAATTTGAAATTTTAAAATTTCTATTTTTGAAATTCTGAACATTTTTTACTTTAACTTCAATTCATAAACAATTTCATTAGTTTTAGATTGAAATTAATTTTTCTTTTTTTTCATTTCTCTTCCTCCTCCTCCTCCTCCTCCAGAACTATTTTCATTTCCATTTTCCACGTATTTTTTAAAGCTTTTTATTTTAAATTTTATGTTTTTTCTTCGCTGATAATATTATTAAAAATTCATGTTTTCATTTCTTTTAGGTATATGAATAGCCCAGCTACACATTGCATTATAAATAAATTATTTTCATGTTTCTAAAATATTATATTTAAGTGCATAGAAAATTAATTTTCAAATAAAATTAAAATGTTAAACACAAAAAAAAAAAAACAAATCTGAACTACAAATTAAAATGAAAATGATGTTTTTTACCGTTAAAATCTTAGTTTTTATTTCATATAAAAAAGTAATGATAAAAACGTTGCTTTTAAATATAAAATATTTTTATATGAAAGAGATAAAAAAAATGTTGAGGGCAATCTATAAAATATTGAGTCATTCCAAGTCTAAGAATGCAACTAAAATTTTGGTATTCAATATTAATCAAGACTAATGTAAATGTCAACTTCCTATAATCCATGTCCATTGAACTTCAACTACCATTGAAATTATTGGACTAGAAATGGGAGCCAACGTTTCGTTTTACTGAATTCCTATATACAATAATCTAATTAAAGGAAAACAAATAAATTTTATTGATAAAGTCAAAATGCTGAAATCAACAAACATCAAAGAGTTTAGTAATTTTTCAAACTTTGTAGGCTGTGTCGTCACTCGGTTACATTTGATAAATTAAATTTTTTGTACAGATTAAGCGAAAATTTTGTTATTTTATTGTAAAATGATATTTCGAGTGTTTCTATGAGAATACATGCGATATATTGTAAGTTTTTTACTGCGAAATTCTAAAAACAATGAGTTTTTCAAAAATATTTTATTTAACTCGTGTTGCATTTCGGTCGAATTGTGATTCGGGGTTATAAAGTTGAATAACTACGAAATCTACACTTTTTGTAAGTTTTTAATAAAATTTTTTTAGTTTGGTTCGAAAAACTAATTTTCAATACCATTCCTTACTTCTAGATTTACCATAGCATGAGAAATTTTTTTTTCACATTTTTGTTATATTGCTTTTGGTTTACAAAATATTCTAGAAATGATATGAACTTATATGTGTTTTTTTCATTTTCACCCCAAATATTTTAATGATGGTATAAGAATAATAAAATATTTTTTTTTAAAGTGTATTAAAAATTTAATGTTTCTTTAATAGTTCAGCTACATTTTTAGCGGTCAATTTACAATTATATTCTGAAATTATGGTAATTATTGACTATACTTTAGCTGTTGGAATTTCAGCTCAAGACTCAAAGTGGTTCAATTTTTGAGTATTTTATACAAGATCTGCAACTGTATGAACTTTTTTTATTTATGCAGTTACAGAATTCAAAATTTCTCACTGAACAAAAATTTTTGTTGGCAATTAAAATTAAATAACATATTTTATATAAATATTAGGTGTAGATTACTATTGAACACACGCGAGTACATTTTTGAAAGCGACCGGTTGTTTTCAATAGTATTTTGCAAATTCAATGTAAAATTTAATTATAATAGGTAAGGTAGTTGTCCAAAGAACAACTGCTGGTAAAATATTTAATATACTTACATTATAGATGACTGGAACAAATAAATAATACATTATGCTCTATAATATTGTTTTCTGTTTTCAAAATTTGCAGTCGAGAAATAATATGGAATTTTATATTTCCAAATTAAGAGGAAGGACATTAAAATAATAATGAAGAAGTAAAAAATCCTTCTCATATTTTGTTGTTTTTTTAAAATGATTTTGCCTTTTTTTCTTTTTTTGTAATTTACTCCTAAAATTCCAGTACAAAAATCATTACTAATGGTTTATTTTTTTTTTTTTTTGATTTTTTTCTCCACAGATATCAGAACTTCATTTTTAATGCGATTTTTTTTTATCAAATATTCAAATAAAAAAAAAGAAGAACGAAAACATATACGAACTTTTATTGTACCAGATTTTTTTCTGCTGTGGGAGAGATTCAACATTATTACAACCATAGATATTATTATTTTGGGGGAATATAAATTGCGCTCAGACATAACACCTTCCTTCATAGAAGAAGAAGAATCTTTAAAATTATGGAAAAAATAGAAAATTTCATGTTATGATGGCTTTTATCAAGAATAAATTTTTGAAGAATATTAAATTAATTTTTTTTACAAAATAATATAAAAACATTTTTAGTGAGACAAAGAAAAAATAAAATAAATAAAAATTTTAACAAGTGATTTTTTAATAGAAAGAAGAGTAAGAAAAACAAAAAAAATAAAAACTATTTTTCAAAATAAAGTTGAAAAATTAAGGAAGTTTTTTCTATTTTTTTATAAATTTTTAATCGAATATAAAAGAAAATTTTTTGAAGAGTATTAAAATAATAAAAATGTTGTTGATTTAAGTGAAAAGTTTTCAAATGAACGAAAAATTATAAAAATAATAAAAAAAAAAAGTGAAAATGAAAAAATCGCTAACACAAAAAGGATTCGAACATTTTAACAAAAAGAGAAAAAATGAATGAATAAAATTTTTGTGGTTATTAAAAAAACAAAACAAATTGAAAATTCAAAGAATAAATAAATTAGCCGCAAAACGTTTATCCTTTTTATAAAAAAAGAAAAGAATTTACAAGTGCTTATTCAGAAAAAAAATAAAAAAACCAAAATTACAAACGAAATAAAAAAAGGCTTTGTTCTAACACACAAATCTTTTCATTTTCCTTTATTTTTTCACGTTTTAATCAAAAAGAAATTATTTTCATTTCTTTCAACAAGGATTTTATTCCTTTTTCTATATTTAGAAATTATTTTCCTCATTTTTGCTTAACAATTATTGCATTAAATGCACAGACTTTTTATTTCTATACTTGAATTCGGACTATTAAATTGAAATGCAATTGCTGCCTGAAAATTATTTGAAAATTTTAAATATTTTCTAAAGGAACTTTAGTATAAAAAATATGAAATTTGACTAAATCATTTACTAATATTTTCAAAATAAAATAAAAATATTGTAATCATTGAAGATAATTTTGATAATTTAAAAATTTTAAATGTTTATAAATAAAACAAAAAGCAAGTGAACTCAGAATTTAAAGCTTTAACTTTGTGTAAAATTTATTAAATAAAAAAAACAGGACAAATTAAATTAATGTTCCATATTTTTATAAAAAAAAAATACCTTGCAAAACATTTACTAACAAAAAATTAAATTAAATTACCAACTAATTTGAAGGACACACAAATAGAACAACAAACATTTCAAAGGAAACAAAATAATTAAATATTTTTTCTTGAAAACAAAAATTTTTGAAGAAATTAGGAATAATGATTGAAATAGAAACAAATATTCCAAGTTCAAAACTGAAAGCAAAACCTGATACTAATACAGGAATCAATAAAGATCAACATCGTATAAGAAATTATAAAAATTTAAAATCTAAAAATATTTTAAAATTATCATCACTACCATCATCAACATCACCATTGAAAACGTTAACATCATTAAAGAATTTGACAACATCAACGTTACCATTATCAACAGAATCTAAAAAACGTACAGAAATAATATCTTCAACATCGTCGTTCTTAACGTCTCCGTCGTCTTCATTATTATTATCAAAATCAAATAGAAATTTTTATAAAAATTCTACAACCAAAAATTCTTGCTGTCTAACTAAAGAATCAATAAAATCAACAGATTCAATAATAGTAACATCATCACAAAAAGGATTTTCTTATTCTAGTAATAAAAATTGTGTCAATAATCGACAAAAATTAAGAAAAAAATATAAAAAAAATTCAACAACAACATCAACAATGACAAATATATTGTCAACTTCATCATTTAATTCAATTGAATCATCACAATTACAATCAAAATCAATAATATTGGATCCATTGATAACGATGCCGTCATCATCAGAAATTCTATTATCATCATCTACTACTACAGTATCATCTTCACCAATATTACCATTATTATCTATTACAAAATTACAATCAACATATAATAATAATAATAATTGTGATGAAGACGATGATGGTAATAGCAAAATAACGCCTTTAATAGAAAATTTTTCTGCTACAACTTCTATAACAAAACCAATAACAATACCATCAATAAATGATGAAAATTTCATTTCAAATAATAAATTTTCTTTAGTAAGTGAAGCAGAAAAAGCAGAAAATATAATTTTTTCACCAATGTCCTTAGAAATACATGAATCTATAAAAAATTCTGATTTAATAAATAAGAATTCTAAACAGCTATCAATGTACCAATACCATAAAAATTATTATAATAATAATAATTCTTTAAAATATAATGGTAACCTAGATAATAATAATATTGTAAAAACTAGTTATATAAAAAATGATAAAGAAAATATTTTAGTTCAAAATTCTTCTTCATCTTCTTCTACAGTAATAGCTAATAATAATAATAATAAAAATATCGATAGGAATTCAAATTTTATAAATACCACCAATGATTTAAAATATAATAATAATGAAAATATAAGTAATGTAGAAAATAAAAATATAAAAAATGTAAACAGTATGTTACCAATGGTAACAACAACAACAACAACAACCATTAAAGAACCAAATAATATTTTACCTGTACTGACGGAAACATTACCGCATTTTAGAATTTTATCAAATAATAATAATAATAATAATTATATTGAAAATGAAAATTCAAGTATGGCAGCCAATAATAATAATAAGAATAAGAATAATTCACGTAATATTAAAGAAAATTCAAAAAATTTCAAATTAAAAGAATCTTTAAATAAATATTCAATATTAAAAAATTTAACATCATTAGGATTTTTATCATCATTTTTATCATCAATATCTTTAATATTACCTTCAGCAGCAGTAACATTACAAACAACATCACCAATATCAAAATCAATAGGATCATTACCAACAAAATTACATCAAAAAACCTCAATAAAACGTCAACAACAAAAATCTTCAACAAAAAGTTACTTTTCATTTGAATTCTTAGTTGCTGCATATATTGTCGCCATAGTTCTTATATTGACAATTGGAAGCCAAAGAGTTGGTAAGTTAAAATTTGTACTATCACTCATTTATGTAGACATATATACATATATTATGGAATGCATATGAACTTAAAATATGTAGACTTATAACGCATACAACTGGACAGTTTTTAATGTCATTTCAATGTTATTTGAAGAATTTTTTTAATTAAAAGGACAGCTGGAGATTTTATTTTTAGGAAACTTTGAATAAAAAAAAATTTCGAAATTTTTTTTCTTGTACTTTTATTCAAGAAAATTTTTTTTAACAATTTCAACATTATACACATAAGAATTTGTTGCAAAACTTTGATATTAACCACAAAAAGTCCAAAATTGGATGAGCATTGCGATTATCCCTAACTTTTTAAATCTGATTGCGTTTTTCTTTTTATTTTTCAAAATGAATTTTTTTCTATTAAGCTTTCTATTTAACGTAGGTAAAAAAATTCATTACGTTTATAGATTTTTTTTGTGTAGAACGAAGTTGTTTTTTTTTTTTTTTGGGGTAAGGTAAATTAGAAGATGTCAATTAAAATTTAATTAAGTTTATTAAGAAAAAATGGTGAATTTCTTTTTTATTTTGCTTAATGGATTTTCTATTATGAAGCTTTAAAGTGTTTTCTGTAATGTGTAAAAAAAAATTTCTTAAATCTGAAAAATTTAATATACAGATCAGATTTTTTGGTTAATATTTTCTAGTCGAAATTAATCCTAACATCGCTTCCACTGAAAACTCAACTTCAAGCTTTTAGTAATGGTGATGTTCCGAACTTTGAAAGGAAGTTTTTTGAAAAGAGAAAATTAATTGCGGCAAAAACTTTTACGCGATAATTTGAACTCAAATAATTGCCCTGTTTAGTGTCTGTTCGAATGAAATATGAATTAAGGATCGAAGATTAAGAATGACAATATTGATATAAATTAAATTAATGACTCATGTGCTGGAAAAGTATAAATATTTTCTATTCAGTTTCGTTTTAAAATTATTTCTTTTTTTCAAGTCATCATTCATTATTTTTTATGTTGCATACCTACCTCAAGACTCTTTAAAGCATTTGGAATAATAAACAATAAACAATTATCACTCAACTTAACCTTATATTGTTCTCAGAATGGAATTAAAATGAAAGGATTTTTTTTCTATTCATTTTATATTTTTTATAAACACTAGAACGCTAAAGTTTTGACATGTTTTTTGAAAAGCACAGTAAATAAAACAATTACAATGTTTTTTTTTTAACAATTTTGTATACATACGTGCATATTTTATTTATTTATCTTTATTTTCACATTTTTTATTGTCTAATAGCTTAAAGAACTATTGGTTTATCGTAGGGATAATCCTACAACATTTTCTTAAAAAATCGAGTTCAAAAAAACTGAATCGCAGGAAATTTTGTGATTTTGCAAAATTTAAAAAATTTATGTAATGAGAGGTACTCTACTTAAAAAAAGAACTGACGAGACTCTGTTAAGATTTAAGATTTTATGATTAATCTGAGAATAGCAATTTGTACTCAATTATAATCTACTGAAATATTAAACGAATCAAACTCAATAATTTCTTACCGAAAGAAATAAGTGATGCAAAGCAAATTGAATATAAAAATACGATCAAAAGGTTTGGTGATGATAGCGAATCCTTGTTACCCAAATAGCAATTGATTATTTGATGGTAAAAAAAGAGCAAATGATTGATTCTCATGGTAAACTTTATGTAAAATAACAAATTCATTATTCACTTAAATTTGTGTGATCGTATTAACAAATTACCACATTCTATCGTAAGGTGTCACTAAGAAATTCGTATATTATGCGATAAGAACCTATTCATATCCCTAGAGTAAGAGTCTTGTTATTTACGTACTACATACTTTTATAGCATCGTGAAATAATTTATAACGTTTGTTTAGCATCAATAAACAGCACTGAAATTAGTCATATTAAACTCCAAAAATTATGCAACCTGATTTACGGTATTTCAAATTATGGAGTTTTTTGTTTGTATGATTGTTGATAGATTATTCAATTTGCAAACCATATAATTTTGGGTAAATATGAGTAATTGTTATTCTACTCTAATCTTTGTTCCATCTGTCATCTTTAAACAGGAATTCAAAAAAAACTGAACTGTATGAAAATTTCAAAAACTAATATTCTCAATAAAAATAATAAATTATAAAAAACTTAAATTTAATTAGATGAAATTCTCTTATGTTGAGGTTTCGTCAATAACAAGTGAATCAAAAATTATTAAAATTTTGTAATATCCAGTGAAACCAGGAAACTATGAATGTACTTACTATTGAACTTTAGGTCTTTTTACTCATTCTTCCTAATTAAATTAAAATAGCTGCAGTTTAATATTAAATATAAAAATATGTAGATAATACAAAAATACAAAATGAAGAATTATAAAGTAAGCAAAAGTTAAATGTAGTATAACAATTTAAAATGTCGCATACAAAAAGAAACCATCTTGAAATAACCTAGATATTTTCGTTTATTTTGTAACTAAAATATAAAATAAAACAAAAAGAAAATTTACAACAACAAAAGTAAACAAAATTTTATTTTTTTTTTTATTTAAAATTCTACAAAATCTACTAATTGGTACTCCTAGTACTTGAGTGAATTCAGAATATCTTTGAATAAAACAAAACATTTTTAAAATTAAGAAAAGAAAAAATCAAGAAAATATTTTAAATTGCATTCTTACATCTTATTATTTCATCCGTACATCTCATTCTTTCATCATTAAATGTTCATTAAAATTCAGTGAAACTAAAATGTTATATAATATTATTTATAATACTTAATTCAATTTTCTGTTATATAAGAGCATTGTGGTAAAGTGCAATTTTATATAAAATTTTATATACTTTGAGAAGAGTAATATTGTTGGGTTCATGGATAAGAATTCCATTTGAATGAATACTAATATACTAATGTAAGAATAATTATGTCATGAAAACCGAATTGAAGTGATTTGAACTGGAAAAGAATTATTAAGAAATTTAGAGATATTGTGGTCATTCAAAATTGATTATACATTAAATTTGAAATTATGATTTAATTGAATAATTTCAAATACAAATATTTCAATATTTTCTTTGGTTTCTTAAGTACCTACACACTTTCAATATTTAAATACATATAAAATAGATATGTGTACGCTGAATTAGAAATATTTCAATTATATATTAAAAAATTTCAATTTATGTGAGTAAATTCCTAATCATTCAATTAAGTGAGTGAATTCCTAATTTGTGGAGAAATTCATAAAGGTTGATTGAAATTTTTATAAGCAATTATTATTATTGCTCAAATTTATTATTACTTTCGAATGGAAATATCTTAAAAAGAATATGAACAGGGTGTACTACAGGATGAATATATTCACCTATCAATTGAAAATGTAAAGTTTTTCACGATGTAAGTGTTATCTTTTTTTTTAATAAGGCAATGAGTTAGATTCTGTATTTCTTGAAAACTTTCCCGGTTTTTACATGATTCTTTCATTTATTTAAAACTTTTCACGGCGAAAATTTCTAAACGAAAGGTAGTCAGGTGCAATCAGTTCCACTGTATTTTATTTTATATGCATAATATAAAAATTCTTGACTTCATTTTTAATTTTTTCAATTTCTCGCATGAATTTTTACAAAGAATATTAAAAAAAAAACAAACTAACAAATAAAGAAAAAAAGTCAGTACATAAAAATAGAAAATACACGAATATTTTAATTTTTAAATAAATATAAAAAAGAAAACAACTTTAATTGAATTTTAATATTTACAACTTAAGAATGAAAAATAAGAAAAATAGAAAATTCACTTTTATTCCCTTTCAAAGGAATAAAAAAAAACCAGAAATTTCTTATTCTTTTCTATTTTTTTTTGTTATTCTTTCCTCCAATTTACATTTTGTGTTATGAATAAATCTGAGAAATGTTAATTAAAAAATCAAACATATTAAATAAAAATAAAGTTTACATTCTATTTACGCCTATAAGTATGTAGAAATAAATGAAAAATGTAAATTTAAAGAATTATTCAACATAAAAATGTGTAGGCATAAATTGTATAAATGAATATATAAAAATTAATAAATAAAGAATGAGGACACTGTATATTAACCCTTGCATTTCATAAAATAATTTTAAAAGCAAATAAAATATTGCATTTAATTAAATATTAATTCCTGAACATTAATTTTATGCAAAAAAAAGAAAATAAAACAAGTTTTTTTTTAATTTCGAAATATTAAAAGAAATAAGAAGGGTAAGAATAATTTATTTTTGTTTTAGATTTATTCTAAGTTTTAAGGTTACACGAATGGATATTTTCGCATTGCTGCAATTACATTTACGCACTACTACTAAACTTAAATTTCACAAACTTAATTAAAGTTTTACTGGTTCAATAATATTTTGCAAATTATTGTATTATGTCTTCTATGATTTGAAGTTGGTTAACATATACATTTGTCAATAGAGAATTAAATTAAATCTTACAAGCGAATTCTAAATTGGATTACAAGAAATTTTGAAGGAAATATTATACTTATGACTCTAAACCTTTCATTTCAATTAGTTTTGCAAATTTTACTTGATAAAATTTAAAATGCATTGGGAATTTTTTATTAAAATTTTAAATAGTGAAAAACCGAAATGTATAGGTTATCATAACCCCAATAAAATAAATGCTTTTAATTCCAGCAGGACTTTTATAACTCATATGTTCATGTAATTTATGAAACACCATTATCGCTCATTCATTTACTACATTAAATATTATGAACGAATAATATAAGGAACTAAATGTTAACTATAGGGTTTATGGAATATGTTTTTGTAGAATTGCTCAAAAATATTCAAAAGAAAATTAATTTTAATTTTTAGTATACAAAGTGACCACCAAAATTATATCCCAATATTACACCAAAAATTATATCCTTCTATTCTTACAGTATTCTTAGACTAAAAATACTTAACTTTATTTTAAGTTAACTTTA